CCTCACCTAGATATAAACAAATATGGCGTGTAAATAGTTAGAGATTGAACCGTTGGGCATTGTAACGTTTTTTTGTTTATTGTATACGCTATGCGTGAAATTAGAATGGGTGTGGATTTTAACCTGAGTTATGTTAGGTTAAAATTCGAATAGGAGATGCGTAAGGTTAAAATAGAAGGTTGCGTCGAATTAATTTGATAATTTATATGTGTTGCTAAGAAAAACAAAACTCTGGACTCATAAATTTATAACATATCTAACTAAATTCTTCAGATTTTTTAGGTAACGTCGCTCATACTGTGATCGAATATTTCGACTTGTGTTAAGTTATTACAGTTTATATCGTAATTAGTTTTGAATAGACCGAAGTTGTTTTCTGCAGTAAAATACTCTAATTGCAATAATAATATGAATTCATTTAACTTCAACGCCAAATTTTGTGATATTGTTGATATTACGAGCATACTAGCATTTCGTTTTAATATTGCTTCGTTGACTGTTAAAATATTATCTAATTTCATCGATAATGAAAAGTAGTGAAGTACGGTGTAATATTAATGGGACAAAAAAGAATTTAATTCTTATAATTTTTGATCAATCACAGAATTAGTGCTTTTCTTTCCTCTTCGATGCCCAAAACTTTGACATTTTAGTATGAAAATAATGGATGACACGAAGTACACAATAAATTGTTGATTTTAATTATTATATATATATCGCGTAAATGATAATCTTGACGCAACTCATTTTTTAATCTACGCCTTTTCGAATCTGATGCACGACATATATATGTTTTTTTTGTATATTATCTAGGGTTGTTAAAACTTACCTGACAATATAATTTGCATATGCGCAGGAATATTTCGGAATCTCATAATTCTGGTCCGCATTAGCAACACACTACCATAATGCAGGTCAGAATTCCATGCGCATGAAATTTGAAAAAAGGCTTCACTACATTTAAGTTATTATAACTTATATGTACAGTAAATTACTGTAATTTACGTAAAGTCATGTAAGTTACAGTAAGTTATCGTGTAGGGTACAGTAACTTGCATGTAAGTTAACAATTCTAATATATATCTTTAATAACTTGCATGTAAGTTAACAATTCTAATATATAATCTTAAAATCTTTAAAATTTCCATATTGTATTATTATACGTTCATATTTTTGTTAACAAAATTTAATTTTATTTGGCAAAAATCAGTTTTGACTCTAAAAGATATGCGAGATGACGTCTACATGCTCAACCAAAAATATCTAATTCATGCTGCAATATAAATAAGAATTAAAATTAATATGTTGCAAATTCAAATTACTGTCAATCAGTAGTGATTACAACCTTTTTTAGAAATTTGAAAAAAAGTTTTGGAAATGTATTCGTCCTCTTTCATACAAATATCTAAGCAATTTAGCAATTGTTTTCCGTGTTGGTATTTTAAAACGTGGATCCAATTCAGAATTAATGCTCTAAAATCTTGGTTCTACGTAAAAGAATCATAAACGATCCAACGAGAAATCTATTGCCAATTTTGCTTGACTATATTTGGAAATTATTAACATTGATTATACGTATCCTTGGAGTGGTATCGGCATTTTATCGTAATTGTTTCAGTGGTCTTTTAATGTTCCAGGTCGACACAAAGTACTTTTTAATCTTTGGTCCGGAGACTTAAGATATTGATTGACAAAGGTGATGTGCATTCTTGATAATTCACTATCGAATTTCAGATTCAATAACATATTGTTATAATATGAAATATTCATTTCAAAATTTTCAGTACTAAACAAAGAAGCATTTCAACCATAACAAAATTTCGCTCATTTTGGTAAGTTTTTTAAAATTTTTTTTTTTTTTTTTTAATAGAATAGGATAATTTTTTATTTATATCAAACAAATAATTTATTAAAATGTTATTAGTAATATTTATTGAAATTTGAAATTATGTAATTTATTATCAAACTAGCCACAAACTACTAACTAGTTTAGACCAGAGCGCAGTTAATTTTTTTCGGAAATTTTTTTCGGAAATTAGGGGATTGGTCTATTTCTGGTCCGGATTCATAGAACAACTTAACATCAACTTACATATAAATTAACAAAATTGCCTCCCGCAGCTAGTCTACCTTCGAATGCCATTGAAACATCTTCATCAGAATTAATTGTGATATGATCTCCATCCTCATCTTGGTATCTGATTCGAATGGGAACACTTTCGTCCCGTCGTGTAGAACATAACCGTATTTTACGTTCTACACGATCACATAGCTCTCTGTATTCAATATCTTGAGGGACAACTATCACAAAGACATCATCTGCAAAGTTCACTTTAATTTTCATTGTAGTAGCATAATTAGACAATGAATGTTGATGACTCTTCTTTTGTTCATTTTGTGCTGACAAAGTATTACTTATAGGTGTATTAGTTGTATTAGTTGCATTAGTTGCATTAGTTGCATTAGTAGTATGTATAGATTGTCCTGAAGTTTGTGAAGAATTGCTTGATCCACTATTTCGTTGTTCTATTTCTATTGATTGAAGCCCATTATTAACATTTTGACGTGCCGGATTGCTAGAATTTGGAATACTAGGCACAGGTTCCGCCATATTTTCAAGTTGTAATTCCTGAATGGCTTGGATATTTGGACTACTTTGTGATCGTAGACGATTTACGA